TATTCCCCTTTATTCGGCTTTGGTGAGGCCACATCTGGAGTACTGTGTCCAGTTCTGGGCCCCCCACTACAAAAAGGATGCGGACGCATTGGAGAGGGTCCAGCGGAGGGCAACCAAAATGATTAGGGGTCTGGAGCATATGACCTACGAGGAGAGGCTGAGGGACTTGGGTCTGTTTAGTCTGCAGAAGCGAAGAGTGAGGGGGGACTTGATAGCAGCCTTCAACTTCCTGAAGGGAGGTTCCAAAGAGGATGGAGAGAGGCTGTTCTCAGTAGTGACAGATGGCAGAACAAGGAGCAATGGTCTCAAGTTGTGGTGGGAGAGGTCCAGATTGGATATTAGGAAAAACTATTTTACTAGGAGGGTAGTGAAGCATTGGAATGGGTTACCTAGGGAAGTAGTGGAGTCTCCATCCCTAGAGGTGAGAGGGCCAGATTGGATATTAGGAAAAACTATTTTACTAGGAGGGTAGTGAAGCATTGGAATGGGTTACCTAGGGAAGTAGTGGAGTCTCCATCCCTAGAGGTGTTTAAGTCTCGGCTTGACAAAGCCCTGGCCGGGGTGATTTAGATGGGATTGGTCCTGCCTAGAGCGGAGGGCTGGACTTGACGACCTTCTGAGGTCTCTTCCAGTTCTATGATTCTATGATAAGGGGATGGTTGGATGAAATAACATGATCTTGGTAACTAATTGACCATTCATTATAGGGAACTTTCTGGGTGTCTGGCTGGTGAGTCTTGCCCACATGCTCAGGGTTTAGCTGATCGCCATATTTGGGGTCAGGAAGGAATTTTCCTCCAGGGTAGATTGGCAGAGGCCCTGGAGGTTTTTCGCCTTCCTCTGTAGCATTGGGCACAGATCACAGCTGAAGGACTCTCTGCATGTTGGGGCCTTCAAAGTATTGGAAGGCTTCAATATCTGAGACATAGGTGAGAGGATTATTCTAAGAGGGGTGGGCGAGATTCTGTGGCCTGCACTGTGCAGGGGGTCAGACTAGATGATCATAATGGTCCCTTCTGACCTTAAAGTCTATGAGTCTATGAGGCCATAAATCCGTCTTGCACCATCACTGTCATGGGAAATAAATTTACACACTTGCATGAAGAGCCTTCCCTGGCATCGGGCCAGACTCAAGTGCCAGGACTAACTGGACTAGGGTAGAGCCCCCCAGACAGGGCTTGCAGGACAGTTGGGCTTCCCCAGTTGTGTGTCCTCCACCCTCCTTTTCCTCCTCCGCCTGTGACTCAGCATCCTCAGAGGTATCCCTGGTGGTGTGCGGGGTTGCGGTGGGATCTCCGCCGTGTAGGGCACACGGCTCTTTGTAGAAGTGGCAGGTCTGCTGATCTGCCCCGGATCAGCTGTTGGCCTCCCTGTCCTGGCGCTGCCTGCTGCAGCTCCTTCGCTTTCACACTGCACTGCCGCGGCGCCTGGTCATACCCCTTCCCTGCCCGCAACCTGCTTGTCTAGGACAATGTTTCTACAGCTGCTTCAGAGCTGTGCCTGCCCGGCCTTTTCTCCTCTACCCCAGGCTGGAGCACATCTGGAGTGCATGGCCGGCCAGGCAGCTGCATACGATGACGGGGATCTTCTAGGGGACAATCAGGAAAAGGAATTTCAGACGTGTGGAGGGAGGCTCAGAGAAGTTCATAACTGTGACCAGAGAGGCCAATGTTGGGCATTGTGGGACAGCGGCTGGAGGACTTAGGTAACACTGCACTGCATTGATCTGTGCATCGCTCATGAGTCAACGCTGCTTGTGGAGGTTGTGTTACTATAGAAACCTAGAACTGGAAGGGACCTTGAGAGGTCATCAAGTCCTGTCTCCTGTTCTGATGGCAGGACCTAGCACCATCTAGACCATCCCTGAGAGATGTTTATCTGATCTGCTCTTAAATATCTCCAGGGATGGAGCTTCCACAATCTCCCTGGGCAATTTATTCCTGTGTTTCACCACCCTGACAGTTAGGAAGTTTTTCCTAATGTCCAACCTAAACCTCCCTTGCTGCAATTTAAGCCCATTGCTTCTTGTTATCATAAAAGGGTAAGGAGAACAATTTTTCTTCTTCATCCTTATAACACCCTTTTAGTTACCGGAAAGCTGTTATGTTCCCTCTCGGTCTTCTCTTTTCCAAGCTAAACAAGCACATTTCTTTCAGTCTTCCCTCGTAGGTCATGTTTTCTAAACCTTTAACCATTTTTGTTGCTCTTCTCTGGACTTTCTCCAATTTCTCCGCATCTTTCTTGAAATGTGGAGCCCAGAACTGGACGCAATCCTCCAGATGAAACCTAATCAGCGCAGAATAGAGTGGAAGGATGACTCCTCGTGTCTTGCTCACACGCTTGTGTCTTGTTGGCACACGGCAGAGCTTACGGAGGTGGGAGGCGAATGTGAGTGTAGAATGTCAACACAAGGCATCTTACACCCACTTCCCTTTGTGGTATAGGCCAAGCCTAAGTGATCTAGGTACCACAGCACAATGGGATGCTAGGTGGGCTGCAAGACTGGTCACATGGTGACTCCATCCAGCTGTAATAATGGGGGCTTTTAACCGAATCAGCAGCTATTCTGTAATCAGCCAACTGGCTCTGTACTCAGCACCCATTTCGCTGTGATGGAAAGTCAGGTTAAAAGTCAGTAGAGGCTCGTTTGGAAAAGATCTAGACGGGATGTGGACCTGGGCTAGTGCTGGATTCACAGCCGTTTCGTACTGTGTGTAGCTCATGGGACATCCCCCTTCCTAGCAGTGCGTAGATTAGAACTGGTCCATACTTTTTTGATGATGGGTTTTCATTGGAAAATGGTCCTTTATCTAGAGGGTATCCTCAGATCTAGCAAATGCACATGCTCCCAGAATAGCCCCATGCTCACTGGTGAGGGCAGTCACATGTGTTCAAGCCCTTACTCTGTCTGAGTCAGGCAGTGCGGGGACTTGAACACGGGTCTCTCACTCCCTCATTGTGCATAGGACCACTAGGGTTGGCAGGTGTCCGGTTTTTGTGGTCTCTGTAAAATGTCCGGTATTTTCTGTTTTTCTTGTATGGAAGGCTGTGGGGGACATTTTTCTCCTGCTGTGTCTGGCGGGGAGAGTGGGGGGATTTAAAGGCGCAGCGCCTCTTTTTTTTTTGCTCAACAACATTGGTGGCTGTCCTATCCCCCGGCCCCCTTTTTTTCTCAAACAATTTTTTCCCTAGCATGTTCGGTATTTTGTGTGAAAGTATCTGGCACCCCTAAGGACTATGGTGGGAATTGTGGAATGGTTCTTACACCCTGTGGTTTTGCAAAAAAACGTTCTGAATGGCTCCCTTTTGTCCCCATGGGAAAAGAGAAAATGGTTTGAAATCTCGTGTTTGCAGCCTGGGTAAAGTTTCCCGCCAAACTGCACTGCATGTGGACTGACGCCAGCAGAAGCCGAAACAAATAGTTCTGACATTTAGAGAACATGGAAATGCGGCGTTGTCTGATCAGTAGAGGAATTAAAATAATTTACTACCAGGAGCAAGAGTGGGAAAAACC